CCACACTCACACACCCAAGACACACTTGAACAGCATAGCAAAATGATACTGTTTCTTTTCAGACACAAGGAGGCAAAGGAAATAGACGCCCAACAGGAAACATAAGAGTTAAGACTCTAGAACCCAGGCTCCTGACCACTGCCCTGTATTGAATCAGATCCCTTCAATCTGAGTGGTCCAAAAATAAAGGTAAAAAAAGGGAAGAAAGTGGGGAAGAAAAAGCTGCCCTGGGCCACTGAGGGTCGAGAGACAAAGAGATGTTGAGAACCAAGCACAGTGTCCATGGACTCAGCACCCCGAGGCAGCCTGGGGTTGGTTCTGCGGGTAACAGCTTAAAGACATCTGTGGGCAACAGCTTAAAGTCAGGACTCAAATCAGATCAACAGGGAAGCATGGTTATTAGGTCAAACTGGATCGTGAGGCCAGAGGCTCCTAACACTTTTTCTTTGAAAGAGAAAGTTCCCAAGAAAATGATTCCTAAACTATATAAATGTCAAGCCCTTAAGCAGCATTTCCCCACTTGCTGGCAAAGCTGATGGACAGGAAAGAATGACATTTTCTTTTTCTTCCTTCTGTTGTAGTAAAGCTACTTTCTTCAGTGGGTCTGGGCTGGCTCAAAGTCCTCCTGGTCTTCTTACTCACTCCTGACTTCAAAAGGTGAGGGCCGGCATGCCCTCCCCAGGGCGCGCAGCACCAAGCCCAGACACAGTAGCACTCTGTTTCTGAGTGAGAGCTCCTTTTCTCTGGAAGGTGTGAAACAGCTTTATGAGCACACAGGATTTCATTAAAGGAAAACAAAGTCCTTCCAATTAGGCTCTCCCAGTTTCCCCGTGATTATCCAAACAGTAGCCTTTTGTTTCCGGGGGCTGGCTAAAGTGAGCCAGAAACAAACAAAAAGAGACAGTTCTCTTTCTCTATTAACCTAAAAATTGATTAAAACTCTCCTGGGGGCGCCTGGGTGACTCAGTCGGTTGAGTGTCCGGCTCTGTGTTGGCTCAGGTCCTGATCTCGGGGTCGTGGGATCGAGCCCCACGACGGGCTCCAGGCTGAGCGTGGAGTGTGCTTGGGGTTCTCTCTCTCCCTCTGCTGCTCCCCCTGCTTGCTCTCTCTCTCTCTAAAAAAATAAATGAAATTTTCAAAAAATAATTAAAAAAAATAAAAATAAAACTCTGCTGAAAATAAAGGGAAAAATTACCTATGGAAAGCTGCGTGCTGCCACCTAAACATTTGAGTCATTCCTCAGAAGAGGGGGACAGGAAGTTCTCCATCTTCCAGCATCTCACCTCTTCCCTTTCCCCTGCTTTGGTTCTGTCCTACTCTGCACTTCTGATCTCTATTTTGTGTTGAACTTGCTGCTTTTTTTTTCATATTGAAGAGATCACATGGCCCCAAGAGCCAAAAATAAATGGGAACTGAATACAAAAATAAATAAAACTCTCCTGACAAAACAGAGTCCATTGAGGGTAACTTATAGTACCCTCGTGTCCCTAAGTTCTCTCTCTCTCTCTCTCTCTCACACACACACACACACACACACACACACACACACACAGGAAGGGTGTGTAGAGAGGAGCAATAGGGAACAAAACAGGATTCAGATGCATGCCTGGCCGGTGGGTAGGTGGGTGTGTGTGTGCGTGTATCAAATCTTGTTAGGACAAATCTCTTTTCAACCAAAATGCTTCAGCTGTAGCTGATGGAAGCATGGAATTCCTTATCACCTAAAGGATAAGTTCCCACGCAGTGAGCACCTAAACCACTGCAATAGTTGATGAATCGGGACCTTCATGCAGATCTGGCAGCTTTAGTACGTGATGAATATAATCATGCATATTCATTCAACAAATATTTTTGAATGCCTACAAAGCGTAACCTAGTCATCTCCCTTCTATCTCACCACTCCATAAATAGCCCCTGCTGCTGTTCCTCAAGCCAGTGCCCCCCACCCTCCCACACCATGGCCCTTCTCAGCATTATGAACAATTCTCGGATCCCACTCTAGGGCCACAAGCACTCCCTTCCTCCCCCCAACCAAAACATATCAGAACACAAGTTCACATGACTTCATGAGAGGATTAGTCTTGAATTCCCTCAACTTAAGAAAAAAAAAAAATTTTTTTTAACAATATACAAAAAACTTCCACAGCTGTAAACTATTTGAATTGTTTCTCCTTATTGTTACTGAAACCCTGCCTGGGCTAAGAAACTTTGAGTTGTAGGAAGTAAGCTTCCATCATTTCTCTTCCAAACTCCTCTCCTTGATAGAGATCCTATAAACTCTCCCCCCACTCCTGAACTGTAACTCTGGAAGGGGATCAAAGGGTGGGGTCTCTGGAGGCAGAGAAATCTTATTCGGCTCTCAAGATCAGAAGCCTGGGATTTCTAAAGACCATTTAGGCTACGCCACCCAGGATTTAATCTTGCCTCCAACAGACCAAACAGTACCCACAAATATCTTACAAGTACTGAAGACAAATAGTGCCTCTCCCTTGATCAGCAACACCCCTAGTGATATATAAAGGGGGAGAGAACATTTGCACTAAGTACAAAGCGGGGCTGCATTCCTAAAGAGGCATACAATCCTCAAAAGGAAACAATTGAGAAGATAAAACAGGCCCCTTAAAGTAGAAGCAGGGAGCCTGCTTCTCCCTCTCCCACTCCCCCTGCTTATGTTCCCTCTCTCCGGGTGTCTCTCTCTATCAAATTAATAAATAAAATCTTAAAAAAAAAAGTAGAAGCTGAAGGATGAAATTTCAAAAGGAAACTCAAGCACATCAAATCATACATTAAGTTTCATCAAAATGACTCATTTCATTTTCTAAAAAAATGGCAAAAAACTTAGCACTGCCACTCAATCTATGTAACATCCAACATATCCCTGTGTGGCTACTCCCCTTCTTTTCTGCCTTTAAAAAATTATGCCCCAAGAGCTCAAATTTTCTTTTGCACTTTCTTGTGGAAATTTAATTCCTGGCCGCCTACAGAGCATGACTTAGACAAATCCTCCTATAAAAATGTCACAGTAAATGCTAAAAATCAGTAGATCGACTTAACAAATCAGCAAAGTTCAAACGGTAAGACGGCACGAGCAAAATTTTCAGCTTTTATATATCCCGAAAGCCTTAATGCTCAGAACCAGGAGGGTTTATTCGTAAAGTTTTGTTAACTTTTATTAAGTGTCAATCTCTTGACAGGCATCTCCTACCAAATTAAAGAAAATCCCAGGAGAACTGAATTTTACAGCATGGAAAAACAGAAAAGCTAAGCCAGTTAAAAAGCAGACATAACGTCTCTGGATGAATTCTTTAAACTAGTCTGATGTTTTGTATCGTGCTATGCTATAACACATGTTATAGCATATGTTATATGAGCCCTTTTTTGGCGTGCTCATCTTCATCAGTCTGGGGAATTCAAGAATAGGTATTGACCCAGCTGGCTAAAATAAGATAGAGGGGAATGAAAGCATTAGAGCGAGTCGAACTCCCACAGCACTGCGGGCATAGACGTGAATACCACCACTCGGGCGATCTCTGCCACAGCAGAACTGTGCACAGGCCGGCCACCAGCTGTGCTCCTGGATGTGCATCCAACACAACCGTATACATCCATCCATCAGAACACGTGCGCAGACTGTGCGTGCTGGTCCCAAACGGGAAACAACCCAAAGCAGGTCTCCAGGAGGAGGGGTCAGCGGTGGTATATTCATACCGTGGAACACAAGAAACCAATGAACAGAACCACCCGTAGCCACATAAAACAGCATGGCGCAGTCTTCCAAATACAACACGGAGTGAAAGAAGCCAGGCACAAAAGGGTACACACGCTGCGATTCCATGTATTAAAGTTCAGGCACTGACACAAGTGACCTCTGATACGAGGTGGATACTCCCGGGGATGTGATACAAAGATGATCAGCTGGGGTCCATGGCTCTGTGTGGGGGAAGGGAGATGAGCAAGTCTTTGGCAGAAAGGGGACTCATAGCATCACGTAAGAGGGACAATCACTGCCCCTAAAAAGGGCTACTCTTTTTTAAAAAGGTTTACTTATTTGAGGGGGAAAAGTGGCAGAGGGACAGGGAGGATCTCAAGCAGACTCCCCACTGAGCACAGAACCCGACTCAGGACCCGATCTCATGACCCTGAGATCAGAACCTGAGCCGAAATCAGGAGTTGGAGGCTTAACCGACTGAGCCACCCAGGTGCCCTTAAAAAGGGCTACTCTAAAGCAGTTACTTTTATAGGAAAGAGCAGTTCAGTTGAGAAAAAGGGGGGGAGAGAAGGAAAGGGGGTAAGGGGGGGAAGAGACACAGAAGGAGAAAGAAAGAGAAAGAGGGAGGATGAATTCAGCTTGATTTCTACCTTTGCTCTATTTTTTTCATATTTTCCCCAAGGCCAACATGTGAACAAGTCAGAATTCTGACTTTGGCCAAAAATATTATGCAGATATCAACACATTTACATTCTTACCTCTAATCAAGCCAAAAATTATATAAAAAGGAGTTTTATCTGCAATACACAACAATGTAAACCAACAAGAATAGAGGTTCTTGTGTGCTTCTCAGGGGATAATTATTAAAAAAAAAAGGGGGGGGGGATTAGTGTGTCTTCTGAGCGTTAAACTAAACCCCACTGCTCAATTCCATTAACTAATTAAAAAAAAAAAAAACCTTCCAACAGAGCTACAGGGTTCCTGACACTGTCTGAAATATATAACTGTTTCCAATTAACTGATTGCTTCTGTAATGAAAAAAGCATGAGGATGCTTAGTTCTGATAGGTTCTTCCGGTGTATGTATCCATACACAAATACACAACTCAACAGTGTATCTGTTTTAAGATTCTTCATCAGTGAGAAAGCATTCATACTTGAAACATAAAGCTCAAGGGAGAAAAAGGCAAACAGGTATCCGAGTTTAAAAGCCAAAGAGAAAATAAAAACTGCTGGATTAAGTCACCTGCTGTGCACATCAGGGGACATGCTCACAAACAATTCACACATCTAGTGACTGGAGTGTTTTAATAAGAGCCTCTCTGTTAGGTCTCCTAGACAGTTCTGTTCTTTTCCACTGCTCAAACACACACACACTCAACAAGTCTCATTTCTCCATGGCCTTGTCAAGTATGGAATGCTTTATTTAAAATTATAAAGGTTACTGAAAAAAAGAGAACTAAAAATAGCAAGAGCAAGATAAAAAATAATGGGATATCTAATAAAATTGAGAGGCAGAGGGGAGAGGAAGAGAGGAGAGGTGGGGATAGTATTAATTCCCTTTCTTCCTTAGCAGGGAGTGAATGGATGCTGCAAAATTTGTTGAAATCAAGGGTACACTATGGCAGTTTAAGAAGAAGGCTGCAAATGTGCTGACACTTCCCATTGAGTGGCAGGTCCACGTCCCCTCTCCTTGAATCTGAGCAGGCTTTGCGATGGACCCAATCAACAGAGTTTGGTGAAAGGAAAGTCATGTAACCTCCGACGCTGGGTCATAAAAGGCCAGGAAGCTTCTAACTGGTTCTCTTGAGGCACTCTAGCAGTTAAATGTATTCGTCCATCTGGAGAATATTTGGGGATGAGATTAACATTTTAATCAGTGAACTCTGGGTAAAGCAGATTGTATTCCATAATGCGGGTGGGCCTCATGCAATCAGTTGACGGTCTGGAT